ACCTGAAAATAAGCCCTAATGTGTTTTTTGGAGCAAAAATTAATATAAGACCCTGTCTTATTTTCAGGGAAACAGGGTAATTCCACCCATGACTGACATCATTGTTATCTTAGCAGTAATGGACAGGTAGCAGAGATGTAACATGATCTAGAAGGCCTATTTCCACAACCACATTGACTTGGATCCATCCTAGTTCCCACCTCACAGCAAAACTGTCATATTTATCAGCCTGTTATTGGAAATACTCAAAAAGCTGACTTTGTGGGAACAAGCCTTCTAGTTGATGTCTCATGTTACATCTCTGCTACCTGTGCATTATGGCTAACATAACAATGGTTTCAGTCATGTGTGGAACACAGCAATGCATATACAGAACTAGCTGGCAGAAGGTATAAGTTAGCATATACAACATTTCACAGACTACAACACCCATATCATTATGTGAATACATGCCCCCTTCCCGTTTAAGGGCTTTGGCAGTTCACCAAAAGTGGTTTCATATGATATTTTGCTCCATGTAGACCACACTGTCAACATGAGCCTCACAAATGCTCCGACGGACAGTTCAGATGTCCTAGTAGGTAGAAATACTGGATTCTTCTCAAGATAGGACTAATCAAACAGAAGTAAAACACAAAAGAAATAGCTCACACAGGGGCACACAAGGGCCATTTCATATGTCCCCACAACAGTATGGAAACAGTTGGAAAATACTGATGAGGAAAGGAAGGAGCAATGCCATTTTCCCATTTAAATTTTGGATTGACATAAACTGAGGACATAAACTGAGGCCTTAAGTAACTTCCACAGTGCTATTTTCTGAACTGTCTCTAAATCATCAGTAAGTGTGAGTCACATTTAACGTATTGGGTTTTTAATTGTGTGAATTTTAATGTTGTGAGCCGCTTTGGGTCCCTTGTTGGGAGAAATATGGCATATAAATAAAACGAATCATAATAATAATCTGAAACAGCAAAGAAACAAACCTCCACTGAGACCAGTACCAGATGCACTAAAAACTTTCCCACTGTCCTTAGTCATGATTAACAGTTCCATCTCTTTTTTGGGAGTGATGTTCTCTTTCTCTAGGAGGAGAAACTTGCAGTCCTTGCGCAGGATGTCATCATTTTGAGAGGTTGTGGTGTTGGCAGCTGGGTGGTATGGAAAAGGCAGAAGATGAGGAAGGAGTCAAGGACAGTATGCTAGATGCAGAACAACTCCAGGAATCTAAGTTTTGGACAGAAACTTTTTTCAACCTCAAAAATCTGGAGAACTCATCATTTGGATTTCCAAATTTAGGATGAAACCTATATAAAAAGTCAACGGGCTGATGGCTACAGCAAGAATTCCTATGGAACTAAATATGGACCACAGCACCCTCTGGAGGCTGCCCTGATTTCCAGCGTACCCCTCAATCCCCCCCATTCTAAAGTAAACATTGGTTCAAACAATCCCCTTACACTTTCTTGAATTACAGTAGGGGTACAATTTTACCTCGTTTTCAGGGCCCCTCAAATCAAATAAATTTATTGTCATTGTAAGTATATACATAGTATACCCATACAACGAAATTCACACAGACACCCAGAGACCTCAGCACCCTGGGGCTACTATATCCCTGTGTTTAAACTAAAAAAAAAATAAATCTGAATCCTATATGGTGAAAGAGACCTTTTTCATTGTTTTTTAAAAAGGGAATGTCTAAGAAAATATATTGGTGGGAGTGATCAGAGGAGATGGTGATGATTTGGCCCTCCAAGGTCTGAAGTGGGCATGTACAGCCCCAGCATCTCTGGAGGCTGCCCACTTCTGGGCAGTAGGATTGTGCAAAGCCCTGTAATGCAGGCAGGACACCAGAGAGGTTCCCATAACATATACACCAGTGGAATCACTCAGATATGCTGGCAGAATGGCTTTGTTGGCAGTGATTGTTTTGTATGTACCAAGGTGGCATGGAGTCATTATGGCCTGGCTCACTCTCTTCTTACATGTATAGGAATTTGTCGGGCATCAATGGCCTTGCCATCAATGTGGGCACTTTTGTGGTATTTTTTGTATGTTTTTTTCTGCTATGTTTTCCCTTGGTGAACAAGTGCAGCATATATCTAGGTCTGGTATAACTGCAGTATAGGGTTGCTCTGCCCATTCCAGACACTAATTTAGGCCTATCCAAATGTAATATTTGGGCAAAAAGAATAAAGTTTGCTTTGTGCCTTAAACAGTTTTTGAGAGGAAGAAAGACACTATGGTGAAATTTTCTGTAGCATATAACTCCAGCTGGGAAAACTCCTTCAGTTGGATTTCTTCCTGACATAGCTGTCAAAGGCACAGAAGCACCACAACACAAAGCAAAACATAAAACAAATGGAACTCTTATCCAGAAATGGAAAATGTGGTTATATCCAAAATATACTTCTCTTATATAATTTGCCTCTTGCCTGCCAGAACTTAGAAAAGCTCACTGCAGAATGGACTGGTAAACTTCCCTTTGTATTCCTCATCAGTGATTCCATACTCTTCTATCAACATTGACAGCATCACCCATATCACAAAACACACATGGCTAAAAGTCCATATGGGTAACAGCAGAGAATTAATGTTTGTGCTATTTCTAATGTCTTGCTTAAGATACTATCTTCTTATTACAGATGGGGCAGTTCCCCATCTGTTTTCAAGAGTAACAGCTCTTGAAAACCTGAACTCTGGAATTGCCTGCAACACCCTATAGTACATATAAGAGATGCAAGTAAGAACTTGTTCCCTGCCTTTAAACAAGATGGCGAAAAGGAGAAAAAAAGATTTACGGAGTTTATCTGTTTGGATTTAAAACTCTGGGTTTGGCTTTGCAATTAAACAAAATAGTATGCCTTAAAGGTTACTCCACTTTAAGAAAAAGTTCCTTCAAAACAGGCATTGAGGAAAAGATGACTTAATTCTCCAAACGTCTTTATATGCTGTTTTATTTTTATTTCCAAAATATAACAGCTGCCTCTAGTGGTCAATCTGGATTACAACATTTGGTAGAGTTTTCTTGTTGCTTACACAATTTAAGAGGCTGATTACACAGGCATTTAGCCCACTGTTTGGTCCGCGAGCTAGAGGGATAGCTGGTTCACTCCTAAAGATGGTGAACATATGACATTTTTGCGGGAGCAAACAAGCGCACCTCCAGACTGGTCTTATCTTCACTTTTCGGGCCCTGGTCAGCTGGTTGATGACTAAACAGTGTTGCTAGGGGGTCTGGTATGCCATTTAGGGTGATCCTGGCACCCCAATGGCATACAGACCCCAGGAAACCTATTTGGTCCACACCAATTAGTTATCAATTTGCCGATATCCTGAAATGGCTGAAAAAAAAGAACCATTCCAAGATACTGGCAAATTTAAACTGCTTTGACTCTGTGGAGCGGCTGAAGAAGTATGTGTGGGATTTTTTAAAAAGTGTATTAGGTATATATATATTACAGTTAGATAAATGTATTAGTTACAAGTATACCTATTACAGATAACTAATATATTTCTCTTAAAGGTCTGGTTGAGAGCCTGCCCGCAGTTGAATCAGGCGGCTTCTACATTTTTGGTGCAGGCTCTGTTTTGGTTTGTTTCCAGCATGTGTGCTTATTGGAATACACCAAAAGCGTCTTCTTTTGAAATGCCAGTATCCTGAATCATCTTGAGATGGAGGGGCTCCAACACTCTTCCTGATGTCATGCATGAAAAGATCCGAGCACTACTCCCCAAAGTTGCTCTTAGCACTTCTGTTCTTCCTTTAAACACTGTACATTTCTAATAGTTGTGGCAATTGTCTGTACCTCCAGAAACCAAACGGAGTGGGAAAAACCCTCTGAGGCAGATCACCTTCCAGATTTGACATCCCAATTAGGGTCTCAAATTTCTGTGAAAGCTGGTGGTGAATTGGCTACAGGAAAAATAGGTGCAGCATTTCCAAAAGAAGGCATACATTTCCTCCTTTTCTAATGGACTGTTAGAGGAGAGATCCCAAGAGAGACCTCCTCTTCTGAGGTGGACCTCCTCCTCCTCCTGCAGGCTTACCTGTTGTAGATGAGGTGTTACCAGCTGTAGAGGAGGTGGACACACCAGTATTGGTCACGCTAGAACTCTGCATGGTATTTTTCTTCACTCCATAAGTGGTTCCTATTGAAGGGGAAGGGAGAGAAAGAGAAAACTTATTCAGTGCACTACTGCTGGACAACAAAGGAAGGGATTTAATACAGTATCTGTTTCCCCCAGCATTGGAAGCACTCAGCAAAACAAAGGGAAAATGGTACATCTCTAAGAAGAGGCTTTGGTTGTTAATAAATAATATCCAGAGGGGCAGCCATATAGGTTCATTACAGCAAAATCAGCTAAGAGGCTTGTAGCACCTTAAAGACCAACACAAAGAAATCTGATGGTACTTTGAAAATTGAGCAATTTACTATAACAGAAGCCTTCGTAGACTATAGTCTATTTCATCAGGAAGTGTTGAATTACAGGTAAATATACATATATGGAGGGGAGCAGCATTGTGAACAGTATGAGATCAGAGTGAAATGAAATACAGGAAGCATCGAGGCGGGCAACCATCACTTTTCTAGAAACCTCCTACAGTGGTCTTTCCCAGCCGTATGTGAGCCTGGCATTTCATGCATGACCTCAACCAGTCACAACTGAGGTTAGTGAATACACATAGCCTCAAACTGGCTACAAAACATGTCTGCCTGTGATTACTCTTAGCGGCAGCTAATCAAAGTCTATACAATAAGGAGTACAGAACAGATTTTAAAAATTATTCTGCCAGGGCCTTAATTCACACAACTCATATATGCCACCAGAAATGACTTGTATCCTAGAACTTTTCCAGTATCCCTTACCAGTAGAAGTTGTAGTGGCATTGGCAGCACCAATTGTACTTGGAATTAGGTTGTTTTGAACTCCATATACTGTAAAGAAAATTATCCTAGGATGAGATGCAGGATTATAAAAAACAAACAAAGGTTGCAACTGCATGGTCAAATACCATGGAACTTACTGTGGATGTAAAATGGATGAATTCACTTTTTAAAAAACTGATAACATGATACAAAGGCCATTTTGAATCAGTCCAACCCTTTTTGCTCCTGACATGGAGTTTTTATCTTCTGCTGCTGGGGACTTCTACTTTTTTAAAAGCAGGAAAAATGCAAATGAACTTTTCCTCATGTGATCAGTTGTGTTGTTCTCTAAAAGTATGGGTATGTGTGATTGTGGCTAGTATTCTGGTGATATACTAAGCTGTATGTGATATTTTGAACAATGGGGACACCCACCTCCATGATCTTTTTCCCGAGTTACCCCAAAGTATTTTTAAATATATATTTTAAAATAAGCCACTGAGTTTAGTACTAGATCACCTTATCACTACTTTGATTATACTAGCTTAGTGCTTGATCATGGACAAAAAAGAAGATAAAAATTGATCTAAAATAGAGACAACTCTGATAAATTACAGAAGACTGGTATGTTTCTATATGGTATGTGTATATGTGTTTGTTATAGAGAATTTTGGGAAACTGTTCCCCTACCCCTAGTGCCATGCAACACTTTAAACAGTCCACCAGCTTTACAATGAACTATAAAAGGAGAGGTGAAGACTCGCAGAAGGCAGGATCAAAGGAAGGGGGTGCCGTAGACTCCATCAGTTTGAGGAGCCAGTATGGACACTGGCACCGAAATAATCTGCAGTCTCTGTGTAATAATCTAACCTGAACGTAAGCATAAAATAGGCTTCGAATCAAGCAGCAGCAAAGCCAAATTGTTCCAATCCAGCTTGCCATTGCAGTTGCAGCCAAACACAGCTTTAATGATTCTCCCACTGGGGTGGAGAGTCTGCAATTAGTCATCTCCAAATAATGAACTCCCAGCAGTGCAGACTCTGATGAGGTGTTGTGCTATATATCTCATATTAACTTCCATATATCTTCTCAGAAGTGCACAAATTCTGTAACCTCTCACAGTGGAATCAAGTCTTACAACTGGCAGATTTTCTTAAGATTTATGTTGGAGATTCAAAGGTTTAGGGATGCAAAATTTCCACAAATACAGTTCTGGCTAAGGGTGGTTTATTAACTGGCTCATAATATAGAACATGAATTCTCCCCAACTGACACCTTCTGTTGTAGAGCAGATCCCCCTTCCACTGTTCTGAAGTGCTTATTCTCAGTGGACTGTTTTAAAGAAACAATGGTTTTCTTTCAGGTTAACTAGAGTTTCAGACCATGCTTTGAACCTGGATATCTGCATCTGCAGCAGAGAAGATCTTAAAGAATACCACTGGAACTTTTATAAATAACTTTTATAGGCATACACATTTGGAGATCACCAACAGGAGGGAAAAGGAGAAGAACCTTGCATCACTCTTTCACCGAGTTGAAATGGTAAGATGGGAGAGAACATACCTGTGGAAGAAGTGCTGAGACCAGTGTTCAGAGTAGGGCAACTGGGGGCCAGGTTATTCGGGACTCCAAACACTGTAAGGGAAAGTAGGGAGAAAATATAAGAATACTCCATTCAATTTTCTTGTAGTCGACTGAGGAGTTAAAAGTATGTATCCACTAAAGAGATGCTCCTTGGAAAGGATGCAGTAAACAGGCTGAAAGGAGCCCTTAAAAATCATTACATTTTGTAATTCTCATCCACCCCCTGCCACCTTCTACTCTGAAATTAGAACCAGTTTTTCCCCCCAATTTTGTTAGTTCACAAATGTTCTTTTGCAGTTATTCAGTTGTAATTCAAGGCAAAGAGGTTATTAATGGGAAGACAATGTTTCGTAAGAGGAAAATGGATGACTTTAATGAGTGCATTGAGTTGTACAATGGAAAGAAATGCGCTCTCCTCTCTGAAACACCATTAATTGCAGACTCCAGAAAAGGTTGGAATTGTCCATGAATGCCATATTTTGAGGGGGAAAAATCTGGGCATAGGTTTAATATACAGAAAAATCAAACAGCCATTCATGCAGTTTGTCCTGGCGAAAATTTCTTTCCTAACAAGACCCCAAGAATCAAGGCAAGTTCAGGTGTTAACTGAAAAATTATTATTGTACACAATATTTTCAATTCTTATCCTTCCTCCATAGCCTTATAATTTATTGTATCAACCATGCCACCATAATAAATCAGTTCATAATTTTGAGAAAAAGCATTCTGCAGACATGAATGAATGCAGACAGAAAACAGTAAGGCTGATGTACCTGATCCAGTTGAATGGGCAGCTGTGTTGATCAAAGATGAGCTTTGGGCCATGTTATTGTGATAGCCGCCAAGAGAAGACCCTGCAGGCAGGGTGGAGGACCACATGTACGATGGGAGGGCAGCATTCAAGATGGTGGTATCATATGTCCCTGACACTGGAGGGAGATCAAAGAAGGACATCCAACAGTGAAATGACACATTTAGAGAAATATATAGTATTTATGGCTATTGTGACATTTGCCCTCCAGTCCTGCAGTTCCTTCAAAGCACCATACAGGGGCAATTAGACTTGTACATGAAGCCATGCTTGGCTCTAAGTAACCACTCAGAAAACTCTATCACACAGAAAAGTAAAAATGATTTGCAAAATGCAGATCAAGGCATGCTCATGGGATAAGTATGTCATCTATCTCTTATGGAATTTCTAATTCTAATGGTGTACTAACTGCATTATTTGGTTTGACCCCAAAATTAGATTTAAAAACAGTATATAATTATTGGGCAAAGCTTCTCCCCTTGTTAGTGAAATGACATGACAAAAAATATTAAATCTCGATAAATCCTGGAGTTACTGGGAGAATGTGGTTTAGAACCAGGTTTTAATGCAAGAATACATGGAAAGGAGATTGGGATCGGTTCATAATTTGCACTACATGGCCAAGGATTTCTTAAGTCCTAACTATCCAATAATTACACTGCCAAAATTACAGTACATTGTTGAAAAAGAGCAATAGGTGAAGATGAATGGATTTTTTATGCACAGACTTAGTTGCAATCTCTTGGATACAGTCTCATTTCCCCATGTTTTGAACTCTTTTTCTGCACCTGTATGTGCATATGTGAACCCACTGCTCATGTTTTAATGAGCTCATGGAACCATCACCCCACTTTTGCAGACTTTCTGCTTGCAGGCTATACCTGACTGACTGCTTTCTGTCACCATCTTGGTTTCCACAACAGCTTTCTTAGGTATAGGGAGCGTGCCTGATGGGGATCGTGTTGGGCTGGCACTAGCTGATCGACTTCCCCGCAGCAGTCGCTTGACATCATCTAATTCTGTCCCTGGAGGAGAAGGAGAGAAGGGGCATGGGAGATGTAGGTCCAAACACTAATTTCAAATTTGTGTAAACCATATCTAAAAGCAGAACAAGTTAAAGGAAACAATAAAATTACTTCAGTTAGAAGTGGAATGCTGACTGTATCTTTAAAATAACAGTAAAATCAACTGCTAGTTGAACAAGAAGCCATATAGTAGAGAGAAGCCATATAGTTAATACCAAATCAGTGGGATTTACCTAAGTGTTAATTTTCCACTTAGCAAATGATTCAGTGGGTTTACTCTAACTAGAGCTACCAATTGGATTTAGGCCAATAGATGTGGCTGGAGATAAATAAGGGCTTATTGTATTCTGCTTCAGTTTTTATTAGGATGGTTGCCCCCTAGCAATCAACACACATAATACAGATCTTCCATCCCCTCACTCACAAATATACATGAAAAGAAAAAAAAAGATGGGAGAATTGATAGGAAAACCTGGGAGGATAAAAGATGACAATGTCCACACCACTCTAACATTTTGTGAATAAGGCATTACAACTGATTCATAAATGTTGCATCTGGAACCAGGACTCCTCCTCCAAGACCACATCAGTTGTAATTTAGCAGGTGTGTGATAATGACCTTTGCTCTTGCTTTCACCAATATAGTGCTGAGCTTTTCCCTGCAGTTAATGTCCCACTGATTAGGCAAAGAGTCTATGACATCATGGGGGGAAAAACCCTACCACTATGGAGAAGGTCATTGTTTCAAGTTATAGATTATTAAAGAGAGTCGGCCACCTTTGTTTCAGTCCACAAAAAGCAGCAACAACACTTACACCTGGTTGATGGAGAAGCACTTTGAAGCCTCACTCGGATTTCACTCTCTGTGAAAGGCAAACAGAAAGAAAAGACTCATTGTAAAGAGGACCATGTATTGGTAACCTGAAGTACCTGAACTTTAGAAGTTGTATTACAGTTGTCTGGTGCCTTTGTTTGAAATGTGCTTTGTCAGGCTCACCAGAATTGAAAGGAGTACAGTTTTGTCATTTGCTTTAGGTAAAGGTGCCCCTTGACATTTAGCCCAGTCATTTCCAACTCTAGGGCGCGGTGCTCATCCCCGTTTCCAA